GCTCGAGAACCATTCTTCAAAATCCAAAGAGAACTTGGTATTTTGGATGAAGGTGATCTCTAAATGTTTCTCATAAGGTGCACGTCTTAATTTTTTCTTCAAAAATTTTTATGTTTAGGTTTCTTATGTTTCGTTGTTATATGTTGTATCGTACAATTCGTTATGTTCGTGTTTTAGTGTGTGGTTGTGTTTAAAATTGTTTGTGTTTTTTAAAATGAATTTGTTTCACTCTTTTTCCCCATCCTTTTTGATGTTAACAAAGGGGGAGAAGAATATGCATATGTGTTGTTTTGTTTCAAAGAAATTGCAGGCCAAAATAACTATCATAAAACTCACTCCAAAATTCAAAGAATCATGGACTTAGGGGGAGCATACAATTTAGGGGGAGCCTTGCATTTGCTTAATTTTTTTTGCTACACAAAACAACATAAACATTTCAAGAATTGTTTTCAAGACTTGGTTGTCATCATCAAAAAGGGGGAGAATGTAATTGCAAGCTTCTCAAGTCATGTTTAAAGCATTGGTTTTGATGAAGACAACATGGATATCAACATTCAAAGGATGTGCAAAAAGTTTATCAATATCATATATAACCTTGTTATAAGTCTTGAAGATTAGAAGAAGAATTATTAAAGAAACAACAAATGTCAAAAGGTATAAATAATTCTTAAACTTGAATATAGATGTTCACAAATATGCATTCATAATCATATACATATCCCACATTTTTAACAATAAGAAAAACTATGTTTGAAATCTTTTTCAAAAGGATTTTTTTTTTAAAATAAACTTTCAGGAACCGGTTCCTACCTAACAGGGAACCGGGTTCCAAACTTGTTCAAAAATCACTTCCCTGGAATTTGTACCAGGAACCGGGTTGTACCTATAGGGGAACCGGTTCCTGCGTGTTATTTTTGAATTCTGGGTTATAACGTTCACTAAGAACCAGGTTCTGCCTGGGTCGGAACCGGTTCCCAGCGAACCAGTACAAATTTTCTTTTGTTTTTTGAACATAATTCAAATGGTATTCTTTCATGATTGCATTGCATCTTTTCACATCAAATGGCATGAATGAAGAGGTATTTGTGACATTATAAATTGTGCAGATTTTCAAATTCAAATAACCTTCTTCAATTAACAATTTTCATCATTCAAATTTGCATATTCTTACAAACTTTCAAGTGTTCTTACAAATCATAAATTTTGTGAAACTTGCCATATACATTTTCATTAAGAAATCATTACAAGTTTCATACATTCTTTGTGAACATTTATAATCATTGCTTGAGAATTATTTCTTTCTTGAAGAAGAAGATCAATCAAAGATTGATAGTGCTCTCCATCTCTTTCAAATAAATCATTGTATTACAAAAATAAAGTATTCCCTTACTATCCAGGATTGTTGGAAGTAAGTGTTGTGATTTGAAGAGGATTGTTCTTCATTCACATTAGTGTTTGTTTGACCTTAAAGGTGTTAAGAACCTTTGGTCACCCTATAGGTTAGATAGTAAGCATAGGCTGTACAATCATTCTAAACTATAGTGAAATCTCTTTCGTGTTGGAAAGGGGACTGGAGTACTCTCAGATTGTGAGGGGAACCAGGATATATCGCCGTGTTCTTTACTTTTCCGCTTTTATCGTTTTCATCACCATAATTAAGAAAAGATAAGATATAGTCAAAAACCTTCAAACACTTAACCACAAATTACTACAAGTATTCTCATAAAACCGAATAAATTTTTATATACCTAATTCACCTCCCCTCTTAGGCACTCTTAGACTTACACAATCATCTTCCACCTTCAGATCACGAAAGGAAGACGAGCCAATCTAAATCTTCATGTTTAAGAAGATTGAACAGGGGCAGCTGTTGTACCCCAAAATTTGCCCTCTTTTTATACACGCATATGATTGGTTTTATGATTATGGAATAAAGGTATATTTATCAAGCTTCTTCAGGTTACAAGTGACGTTTATTTCGTCAATGGATATTCTCAGAATATTTTCCGTGCTGAAGATCGATTCTCCGTTTTGCAATGATTCGGGGTTCAAAGATTCACAAGTCCAACCCGGCGCGTCATATTCAGGTGTTCTTTCGCCAAGATATCTCTGATAACGTATTCTCAAATTCAGGTTCAGCTCAAGAGTCAATTCTTTAAAGAAGGTCTCCGAATGTGTGAGTTTTCTCGAAGAAATATGGTGAAAAAATGTGCTGAAAGTGCAGTTTTTACGCACTAAAAAATCCATAACTTGAAGATCGTGGCTCGTTTTGAACCCGTTCCGGTGGCCAAAATTCCGTATTGACGTCATCTACGTTTTCATCTCTCACGGTTGGAAGCCAATTTCGATTAGAAGGTCTTCAAAAATGCGTATTTATCAAGTATTTTCGTACAGAAAATTTGTGACAGAAATTTATTTGCGTCATGTTCAGAAAATCATAACTTAGTCGATTTTCATCGTATCGAGCTGGTTCCAGCGCCAAAATTTCATAAATTGAGTTGACTATGTTATCACAGATTGGTAGACGGAATAACATATACACGTCCTCTAGTGTGACTGTACATTCACCACATGGAAGATGAAAGGTGTGAGTTTCGGGTCTCCATCTCTCCACTAATGCGAGAATAATTTTATAGTCAACATGGTAATTGACTATGTTGAGTAACGAACCAAAACCGGCATGTCGTAGCCGGTAATTAACACATTGGGGATACTCCCCTTTAATGTGTTAAGGACATGCAACAATCTCCCCTAAGGAATATGCAGCCTCACTAGAGAATCATAGGAAAGTATGCAAGCTTAAGAAATTTATCTATAGACTTAATCAAGCATCTAGGAGTTGGAATCTTTGTTTAGATGAAGTGATCAAAAATTTTGATTTCATTATATGCAAAGAAGAGTCATGTGATTACAAGAAGTTGAGTGGGAGAAAAGTGACCTTCCTAGTTTGATATGTGAATGACATATTACTCATTGAAAATAATGTTCCTATGATAGAGACAATCAATGAATGGCTTAAAAGGAATTTCTCATTAAAGGATATAGGAGAGGCATAATACTTATTAGGCATTAAGATCTACAGAGATAGGTCTAAGAGGCTTATTGGTCTAAGAGTCTTAATATGGTGGATTCTAAGAAAAGATTTTTTCTTATGCAACATGGCTTACGACTCAAAAAAAGCATGTGTCCTAAGACACCTGGTGAAATTGAGAAAATGAGTAGGATTCCCTAAGCCACAACCATATGATCCATCATATATGTTATGACTTGTACTCTCCCAGATGTTCTATATGCTTTGAGTATGTGAAACAAATACTAATCAAACCCTGAGAGGAAAATTGGTGTGCAACCAAGAACATTCTAAAGTACTTGAGAAAGACTAAGGATGATGTCTTATTATATGGATATGATGACGAGCTGGTCGTCAAGGACTATACTGATGCGAGTTTCCAAATAGATAGAGATGATTTAGAATCCCAGTCTAGATACATCTTCATATAAATGGAGGAGGTGTTAGTTGAAAGAGCTCGAAGCAAGAGACAATAGCAGATTCTAGAACGAAAGCATAATATATTGCTACTAGTGAAGTATCCAAGGAGGAGGTCTGGATTATACATTTCATAGCTGAGCTTGGTGTTGTTCCTAGCACTTCCAGAGCAATTGGTGTCTATTGTGACAATAATTACGCCGTTTCTCAAGCTAAGGAACCTAGTTCTAGCTCCAGATCCAAGCACGTCCAACAAAAGTACCACATGATCAAACACTATGTTGATAGAGGAGACGTGAGGATGTGCACAATGCAGACTGACGACAACATTGCAGACCCTTTGACCAAGTCTATGCCTAGGCCCAAACATGATAATCAAAATCGGGCCAAAGGGCTCAAACACATTAGAGAATTGTTTTAAAATATTTTTTGTTTTATATAGTTACAGAAGTTTGCACACGCATCAAGAGCTAATCATTTCCTTTTATTCCTAATCCAATTGATTTATGCAATAAATCATTTGTTTAGATGTTAAGAAAATGTTTTCTACAATTTCGTTTAAAGCATCTAAGTTTCAATCGAAATTAGTCGAATATAATTTGCACTTTCTTTTTTAGAAGCTTATAAAAGTTTTTGAAAAAAAGAAAACTATAAAAGCTGAACTTTTACTACCATCACTAGACATGGCCAAGTTTTCAATGTTTTACTTTTGTACCAATCAGGTGATGTATAGACTTTCTATGATCACAATGAACTTTAAAATCTAAATCCTCTAATTAAAAAAATAATACTGATGCTTGAATTCCTAACCAACAATCTCACAATGACATGAAAATTAAAAAGGGAAAGACTTCAAAATAACTTGTAACTACTAACTCAAAAAGGAAAAGACTTTTGATCGTGCAGCGATTTTTCTTCAAGATTTTGAAAAATATTTATTATTGTAAAAACAGACGCGTTAAACAATATTAAAAGATATTGATATCGATATTATTATTTAATATTTTTTGATAAAGAAAAAATTGTGATTAACTCACGTTACAATAAATATAATTAGCGTAAAATATCTATACCAACCGAAATTAAAAAAATATTTTATGTAACATTAACTCGCGGTTATTTAAAACATGGTCAGGGATCCAATCTCACTACTAACAAAACAATAAGTCACATTTTGTGATTTCATAAAAAAAAACATCAATCACAAGAAATTAAACCAATGCAATCAACAGAAAATTTTCAGACTTATATTATAAGAGGAAAAAATATCCCATAATCAAAATATGCAAGACAAAAAATATGGAAAATAATCTTATACAAAGATTTTGTTCTTTTGGTACACAATCTTTCAAAATACCACTAAAAGATCATATAACCACCAACAATAAATATCCATTCCAAAAATGATATCTATGTAAAATTTAACATCTGAGGGAAATGAAAAAAATAAATAAACCAAATAAAGTGCATCAAAATCTTTGAGCCTAAAACAGGAAAAAATAAATCTCAGATTTTATTCCTTCCCTTTATTATTATTGCTGCTACTTGTGATATTTCCATTGTTGTTGCTTGCTGCGCCGTCATTATTTGTAGCGTTGTTGTTGTTGTTCGGCTGAGCAGCACCAACGAAGGAAGTAAGAGCAGCTGCTAAAGCTGCAGTGAAATTCCGATCAGCAGCAATGGCAGCAGAAACAGTGTCAGCAACATTTTGTTGTGACAATTGTAGGCCAGAAAATGTTGATTGGTTATAAGGTACCTGGTTAAACATATGAGGCAACGGAACTTGTAACTGATTTTGAAGCATTTGGAGCTGTAGCGGATTTGGAGGTTGAGTGAAGTCGAGCGTTATGGTGGGAAACGGAGCAGAAGATGAGATAGTCGCAAGACTCGAAGAACCGGGAATGGTTCCTCTTCGGAGGAAACTCGCATTCGCTGTTCTGTTGTTGCTTGAGGTTGATCCTGAAAGAAGCATTCTTGCAGCTGCTGCAGTTGTTTGTGCCATTTCCATGGCTGCTGGTGGTAAAGTATGGTTATGATATCCTTCATAGGTTGTGATTACCACTGATTTGTCTTCAACACTCTTTTGTACCTGTAAATTTTTAACTCTATATCAAATATTGCATTATATCGCAAAACAAACTTCTGTATAGCGATACTTACAGATTATCCACCAACGAGTTTCTTACACTAACATCCGAACTCGCAGTCTTATAAAATATGAGTTACATTTATATCAAAAACAGTTCATAAATATTTTAATTATGAATCTATCTTGCTATCTACTATTTTGTTTGATATTTTAAGAAATATTTAACAGTATCTAAAAATCTAGGCAAAAATCAAAGATTTTAATGTCTGCGGCTACCGTGTAATAGAGAGAAAGTATACCTGTTTTCTAACGGGGCAACCACTACCCATGGTGCATCTATAATAAGAACGAGGACTCGGGTTTCCTTTTGCCATTTTCTGTCCATACTTTCTCCATTGGCATCCATCAGAAACCTAAAACAAGACCATAATTTCTCATTACTAAATTGTATAGTTTAAAAACACGTTGCAGACTGCAATTTAAAACCATATTATACACTTAACGTATGTATTTACCACGTTTCCATCTGTTCTTGTTCTAACAGAAACCCTTGCTCTCCTCAAGGTAGCATCAACATCAATTCGATCGACATTAACAAAATTTGGAGCATAGTTTGGAGGACTCAACCTTGGAAGTCTCTCAGCATGAGCAATGGGACTATCCTCTCTTTCATTCCCTTTACCAAGCTCCTTTTTTCCTTCGTCACTGACATTCTCATTCTTGCTTAGCACTAACTCCTTGGAGGCAACTTCGAAGTTGTTCTCCGGTGGGGATCCAAGTCGACCAGAAGTTAATGTTCTTGAAGAAGAGGGTTCAGGATCCATCTCGGGCTTAGGTTTAATAGCCAATCCAAGCTCCAAAGAATCTCTTGGAACCAATGCTCCACCATTCTCAATTTTCCTTTTCTTCTCAAATTTTCCAACAAACCCTTCTCGTTCTCCATCTTCCTCGGCCTTCTTGTCCTGCGTCATTTTCTCAAAATGCATCAGGAGAGTATCATAATCGGTTTGAAGCTCATCAAGCATCAAACTCAATCGATGATTCTCCTTTTCCATTCGTGCAAGCTTGCCTCGAAGAACAGCCATCTGAAAAACAGTTCACAGAATTCAAACACACCGATGCATGAAAACACTCAATTGTGATCGTAAACCACAATTGCACCCTCAATATATACACAAACTGCATCAAAACTAAAACTGTATCGACAAATTTTATGCAATATATTGATTCGCACGATAACTACAACAACAATTTAAAATCATGATACAAAATAAAAGAAAAAACAATGATCAAGTTCATTAAATTAAACTATGTATGAATGTAACCAAAAACTTTACCTCATTCTTAGTGTTTTCGTCATTGGATTTAGATGACATGTCATCATCCCCTTGTTCACTAGCATCATTGATAGCAACAACATTGAGACCGAGATGGAGATCAGTGATAATCTATTAAAAAAACAATTACAAGTTAACAAGCACTCCAATCAACTTAAAATAATTGAGATTATAAATCAAAAAGCCTCGAAAATTTCAGACAATTTAATACAATAAACAAAAATAAGACGATGGAGTACTATTGAATTATGAATAATGAATAATGAATAACTCACGTTGGTATGATCAATGTCAAGGACAGGGACATCAGCAGTAAAGGCAGATGGAGAGACAACAACGTTATTATCATGATCATTGTTGTTGTAATTCTTAAAGAAATCAAACTCGGTTATTGTTTGATGATTTTTTTGGGATGGACTAATGTTGACTTGGAAAGGGGTGACAGTGTGAGAATGTGAAGAAGAATCCATGTTGTTTGTAGGGTTGTTGTGGTCAATAATATTCAAAGGGAGAGATTGCGACTAAAAAGAGAGAGGGAATGAAGTGTGTTTCAAAGTATTATAAATGGTGCAATTCATTCGGCTAAAAAAACGGGGAGTTTGAGAACTTCATAAAAAAAGTATACTTGTGAAATTAGTAAATAAATAAATAAATAAAAGTGTGTTGTTTTTCTATATGGAAGAGAATATAATTCATGAAAAGTCATCGTCTATATGTACAAATAGGAAAGCACAGGAAGATAATAGTAAACTAATTCTTCATATGAATAAATATACTTGAGAGAGAATAACGGATAAAATTTAAACAAATTCTTTTAGATGTAATTCTTATTATTTTTTAATAAAAATATAATAAAAATATAATTTTATCTTATATATACATAATTTTTTATTTAGTAAATTATATTTAAATACATTTATTATATTTTTATTAGAAAAAAAATAAAAAACACTTAAAAAATTTTGTATTTAAATTTTTTCTAAATATATTTACTTATTGTTTAGGATGATTAGTCAAATGTTAACATTATAAAAAATTTAGAATTATATTTATAATATATGGTAACTTAAAATACTAATAATTTATTTGTTTTAGTGCATTTTCTTTGGTCAAATAAATAGTCAAATACATATTTTTTTTAACGTATTAAATAAGTTATATTTAGTTTTTTTTTTTGTTTACTTACATTTTTTATGAATGATATATATCTATATGGAATTGAGAAGACTAATAATTTGAGATCGGTCAAACTAAATTAAGGTACAGTGACTTTTATAACTAAATTTTGAGATAAATTTGACTTCTTACTATAAAATAAAAAAGAGAATATTGACACACAATTTCATAAGTGTGATTTTATATTTTTCTCATATAAAATATGATAAATATATTTAAATATTTTTTAAAGAATAAAAATAGGAAGAAATTATATATGTGTAGGAAGAAATTATACACATATATAATTTTTGTTAGAAAAAAACATAAATCACACCTAACAAAATACAGCTAAGTTTTTTCCAAATAAAAAATATATGATTATTTTATAAAATTTAATTAAATTTCTTTATTCATATTAATTAGAAAGCATTTTTAACAACTTTTATTAAAAAATAAAGTCTTGAAAAATATATTAAAATAATGAGTCAAAATCATATCACATTAAGGTGTCAAACTTTAATATTATGACACCCCTTTACAGATTGAAAATTATTTTCATATAGATAGTTTCTATATAATCGAACATGAATTATAGAAATCATTTAACAATCCAATAAAATGCATAAAAATTAATATTTTATAAAACTTCACCAAAATGATTAATTTTGATTCTTCTTTTTAACATATTAAATAATTTTTTATTAATGTTAAATTTTATAAATATGATCTATATGATACTATAATATATTTCAATCCAACAATAAATTTGTTATATAGATATATGCTAAAGAGTTATCGGATGTATCATAATATTAAGTTTAATACCTTAAAATCATTTGATCATGGCCTTAAAATTATATATATAATTATATAAATATTAATGAGAGTGAATACCATTTTGATCTTTTACAAAAACTAGAGAATCCAAATTGATCTCCCACAATAGTTTTAGTTCTCATTTTATTTTTAAACAAGTCGGATTTGAAAATATCTTTGAAAATAAAAAATTGTTTCTAAAAAGAATTTGAAGTTTCTTAACATTAAATGGTAGTCACTTTATTATTAAATAATTTGTTATTAATATTTATAATGATAAATACTAAACTTAGTAATTTAGAATAAATATTTAATTTTTTACTTATTTAAATAATACATAATTAAATATTTATTTATTTTAAACAATATACAAATTCTAAAATAAAATTAATAAAATGTAAATTCTAAATATAATTAATCAAATAGAAATAAATTAAATAAAACATAAATAAATACTTATTTATTTAAATTTAATTCAAATTAAATAATAATTGATTAAAAATATATTAATTCAATTAATTAATTAACTAATTAGTTAATTAATAATTAATTCAATTAAATAATCAATTAATTTTTAAAAGTATTTTTATTTGATTAATTATATTTAAGATTTAAATTTTATTGTTTTATTTTTAAATGTGTGTATTATTTAAAATAAGTAGATAAGTAAATATTTATTCTAAATTGTTAAGTTAAGTATTTATATTTAAAATATTAATAAATTGATTTATATAGTTGTAAAATGACTACATTTTAATTGAAGGGACTTTGGTTTCAATTTTTTGTTTTAAATTCAGAATTGTTTAATATTACTATAAATCATTAAAACTATTTGTCAGTAATGTATATTGGTCTAGTGGTAATAAAATAAAAATAAAAATCAAATTGAGATTTAAAAATTGAAAAATAAAAAATAAATAATAACATGACAGTCCAATCACGATTTAAAAGTAGGAAAAAAATCGATTTAAAAAAAATATTAACATAGAAACTAATATGATTCGATTAATTTTATAAAAAATTAAATTGTATCTATTTTTTTTTTTGTGAAAGATTAATTTGGATTTTGTAATTTTTGTAAAGGATTAAAATAGATCTTTAGACTATATTTATTGTGAACTTTTTCCATTAATTCTCTTTAATTATGTCCGATAAAGGAGGATTTTTTAAATGGCTCGAAAATAAATAGAATTTATTTTCAGAGTACATTCAGAGTATATGTTATTTTACTGTGCTTTTTAAATTATTAAAAATTTAATAACAATGCTAAGAAAACTATTTTTAATAAGGAGAAAATTTAGGTATAGTGATTTATACTATTATCTAATAAAAATATGATAAATATATTTAAATATTTCTTATGAAATGAAAGTAGAAAAAAATTATTTATGTATAGTAAAAAATTATATATTTATTTTATTTTTATTAAAAAATAATATAAATCTCATCTAAGAATTTGTATCTAAATTTTCTCTTTTTTATAATAAACTCATGACCGAAAACATTAGTCAGTTGACCAAATTTTTTTAAATTTGACGTAAATTGACAGGTTAATATGTAATATTTTACAAGAAAAAAATTAAGGTTAAACTATAATTTTGGTTTTTTTATTTTGGTCAATTCACGAAATCAGTCTTTCTTATTTATTTTTTAAATAATTTTGGTCTCCATGTTCATTTTTTGTCCAAAAAAATTCTGATGTTTCATTTTTTTGTATTAGTTTCATATTTTCTGAATGAGAAAGAACATAAATATTTTTTAAAGAATAAAGAAGATGAACGAATAAGCTGAAAGAAAAAAGTGAAGAAGACGATTGGAGAATATGATTGAAAAAATAAAACGTCTTACAAAATATAATGAATAATTAATCTTTCTTATTTCAAGTCAATAAAAATATGTCACCTATTAAAAAATCGTACACAATTAAAGTTTTTTGGATGAAAAATGAACATGAGCATCAAAATTGTTTAAAAAAATAAATAGAATGACTGAATTCATGAATTGTTTAAAATAGAAGGATCAAAATTATAATTTAAAATTAAATATAATTTGAATATTATTAATTTTATATTTTTATGTGTGATTTTCTGATGAGTATGTAAATTATTTTTAGAGAGATGAGTATGTGTAACTTTGACTACAAGTAAAAATGATATTTTATAAATATTTATTAGATCTTTATTATGTTGAGATTTATTTATATTTTAAATACAAAAGTTATTTTTCCTTAAACTTTAAAGTGAAATGGTATATAATTTTATTATAATATACACGTTCTCTTAATTAAAATACATCTTGAAGGTCAAATGAGAGTTTGACCCAAAAATAAGAGAATACTCATAGTTTATCTTATACTTATACTAGTATTTTTCAATTTTTCAATAAAAAGCAAATGTTATTATTTATTTCTACTCATTTATCGTAATGTTTAAAATATTAATATAATATTTATTATTTCTTTTTATTAATTTACTTTTATTTACTATATTTTAAATCATATAAATGTTCCACTATGTATTATTAATAAGGTTATTTTAGTAAATAATATTTGTTTTATTATTGAAATAAACACAATTAATCATTATTTTAAAAAATATGAAAATCTCAAAAAAGACATCTATTATGAAACGGAGAGCATAGATAATTGAACTGTTCTCTCTATGATTTAGATTTAAATTTAAATTAATATTTTTATGTTGTGCGGCATACGTGAGAAAAAAATTAAAAAATTTTATTGATTAAATAGTTGAAGTATATAAAAATTAATAGTGGAGTAATGAATTAGAGTAATTAATATTAAATATTAATTATATTAAATAATATTTATTGAAAAGAAAAAAGAAAATAATATAATTAAAAATTATTTAAAAAAAATTTTACTCAAAATTTGACGCATACTAGTATATTCTATTTTAATATATTAAAGACTCGAAATTTAATTATTAACATGACATACATAAATAAATTATTTTAAGAGTAATATGATTGGTTGATTAATAAATTAACTTTTAATTATACTGGATCATGGATGTGATGCTATTATAACTCCTTTTTATAATACTTTGTTCAGAGAAAATATATGATGAGAAAAAATAGGAGAGAGAAGAAAAAATAGGAGAGAGAAAATATGGCTTACACGTGAGCATTCTTCGCTTTCTTATCAATTTATTTCGTAACTTTAAGTATTTTCCTTATTTTTAATATCTTTTAAAAAAATTTATCGTCAAGATATCTTACTTTTGAATTAAAAATAAAAAAATAAAAGGTGTTCCTTATGAAGGGTCTTTGCCGATTAAAATGGAGTTAGTTTTTCCTTTATTTTACTTTACATTTTCGTTAAATAATTATATTAATCAAAGAAACGATTAAATATGATTGTATTGAATAATAAATTCAAAAAAAAAATGATATAACTATTTATATAATAACTAATTTTTTTTTATATTATTAGTCAGCACTACTAAATAATAGTAATAAGTCACCTTAATGGACACAT